CACTTCCCCTGCCATTCCGGGCTGCCCCAGCGCCTCTCCTTCCTCGCCCATCCCTTCTGCAGAGTTTGCAGCCCTCCTCTCCATGAGTCACCCCACCAGGTTTTTGTGATTGCGACTATATCAAATTTTTCCCGCTGCACAGCAGCTTCCAGCTCCCCGTTTGTCACTCGTGCTGCGTGTGTTGGTGTAGACGCACTTCGGTTGGGCTCTCGATCCCACCACCTCTTGGGGGAGAAGCCCCAAGTCCTGTGGGACTGTTCTCAGGCTCTTCCGTGGCTTCTAACCCTCCAGCAACCCTCGTGGATCTCCACCCCCTGCCCCCGGAGACGGCTGCGGTGCTGCGGGCAGTACTACGGGGACATCCCGGGTGCGCTCCAGTGTGCTCAGCGCACGGTGCAGCAGGGGAAGGACCTTGCTGGCACGCTGTCCCTCAAACGCTGCCATGTCACCCCCAGGATTACCCGTTTCCCCCTTCAAATCAGGTTTAAAGCACTTCCCGTGAGCCCTGCTGCCTCCTGCGCAAAGATCCCCTTCCCCCTTTGAGGGCGGCGCACCCTGTCTGTCCTCGGGGTGTTCAGCCCGACCCCCTCATTGAACACCCCACGTTCAGCCGGTGCCCCCCGGCTGGGAGCTGGGCGTGGGTCTGCTGGCTGTTGTGTTTCTTCCCTCATTGTTCCCTGTGGCTGGAGGGACGAAGGAGGACGTTGCTCCTGCTCCCGGTCCCTTCACCAGTCGTCCCCAGGCCCTCGACTCTCTTGGTTGCCCTCGGACTTCTTGTTGCCGCTTCATCGCTGCAAAAATCAGTAACAGGCGATAATCCGAGGGCTGTACTGGGGGGGGGAGTTTCCTCCTCTTCAACCCAGCCCCAGATTTCCCTCCGAGGTGGGTCCTGGGCCTTCTGTCCCCTTTGGAGGGGGGTCTCCTGTGGCAGCAGCCTGTCCTTTTGTCTTTGTGGAGGCGGTTTTGACGCAGGGTACAGGATGATTAACCTTGGCAGCTCCCCCAGGCTGAGGGCTGGGACGGGAAGGTGGGCACGGAGGAGACGCCCTGCTGCGCCGGGCAGGGACCTTCACCGCTGTCCCCTGTCCCTTGAGTCACCGCGTTCAGCCAGGCAGGGCCCGGACAGGGTGGTGTGTGTTCAGCAGAGACCTCTTCTTGGGAAAATGAGGAAAGAAACTCTAGGCAAGGGGACTGCTAGAGCCCAGAGGGCAGATGATGCCTGTCCTGCCGCTGGGCTCCCTGGCCAGTGGGGATGCGAGTGGGATGCTGCTCCAGGTGCCAAACCCTCTCTGTCTCCGGAGGGCTCTGGC